CGCCAACAATAAGCCAAAACTCAAACCTCTGCTTGGAGAGTAAGGTGTAACAAGTCTAGCCTCTACCAGGCTTGAGGGCGCGGCTGGAAATAGTAGAAATTGGCCAAATAGAGAGATAACACGCCGAGGGAGTTTAGCCATCCAGTTTACAGTTTGAGGGGCTAAACTGGATGGCTAAACTCCCTCGGCGTGTCGTTCGCTGTAATGTAGCCAGCTGTCGCCGCGCCGCGTGCCTGCGAAGCTGAGTGAGCCTCTAACAGGGTTGAGGGAAGCGGCTGGAAAGAGTAGAAATTGGCCAAATAGAGAGATAACATGCCAGAGGAATTGGTCCGATAGAGATAACAGTTTGTTAGCAAAGCGTTCAACTCCTAGGGCAGGTTATCTGTCTACTTGACCAATTTCTACTCTTTTCAGCCGCTTCCCTGAGGCCTGCAGCTGATAGAGGCTAGTGAACATGAAATTTTTTCTTTGCTTCATATTTTCTTCATTTGTTTGCCTGTATATAATATTATCATCTCTCATTATCCTTACCTTGCAGGCACGTCTGGGACAAGGTGTGAGATTATGGGCTAGCGTTCGCCCACAGTAAGTACATGTACAATCTACAGTAGAAAATCGCAATAGTTTCACTGCCCAAACGGGAATGGGACCTGGTAGAAAGCGTTACGGGCTTTCATCATAATATCTGCCATTAAATCTAACTTGGGTCTTTTTCTATCAAATCATATTGCTTAAAATTTGTTATTAGGCCACCTCTATTCCATATACGGTAGCTTTGCATACGGTTCGTACAGTTGCAGGTTTTTGCATTTCCGCTAGGGGGCCCTTAACTGAATCTCGTGCGTGCTCGCTCACAGTCCTCATGGTTTACAATTTCTCTGTTTCTCTTTCAGAGCGTGTCGGCTCGTGTTCAGTAGGAAAAGCATGAAGAGAGCACAGCTTATGATGCCACGTTAGAAGCATATATTAGATTGCACTGTATTTTAAAGTGATGACCATGAATCGAGAATCATAGAATGTAACGTTAAGCCATGTTGATTTGATTATATGGATGACATCCTCTGGGAACCCCAAAACTGATGCGCGCGTGCGAATAAAAAAAAAGTTTTGAAAAAAAAAGTTGCTCTCACTATGAAATCTACGTGGTCATGAAGGTTGAACAAATGGCACAGAATATGTTATGGCGAATAATCTACTCTTCGAATTCATTTCTTTACATTTTTGTCTTTTTTCCTTTTATTTTGGCATTCTACGACATTGGTATCGTTTCTAAATGGTTTCCTTGCAACTTATGGTATATTTTTGCTCATTTAGCAACTGTTTTGCACGATTTACAGTATGGTTGAAAACTTTTTTTTTTGGAAACGGCCGAAAATTCATGCGCGCGCGGATGTCATCCATATAATCAAATCAACATGGCCTTACAATAACTTACATATTGATATCTGATGCACAACTTTTTTTGTCTTTTAACCTTGCAATTGCGCCCTTGACCAATGTTGATTCTGTCTTAACAGACCGACCGAGGTGTTTTTAACTCTCCATCTTGTCTATTGTTTTGATGTTTCTTAATTCAATAAAGATTATGTCAAACATACTGCAGATATTAGGAGGAATGATCGTGGAGATTATTTCGTCTGACACGACTGCTACAAAGTATTTTAGAGAGTGAGACACTGCAAAACCGTCAGACCGGATGCGATCTTCACTCCTAATAAATTGGGATTAGCTCTGCAGGCCACTTGTAAAGGAGGAGTAAAGAAGTGGTACGCAAACATTGAAATATAACAAAGATGTGTGTGCCAATATGTAGTTACATTTCTCTTGGTCCGTCATGAATATATGGCACATGTTAGCATCCATAGCATGCCAAAAACTGGGGGTTTTAGTGGTCTTCATTGTCTTTGGGAGCTTTTATGTGCTATTTTCTGATTGCATATAGACAACATAGCCGGCCTGGTTGAATTATCCCCGTTTTTTAGAACTGGGCTAATCAGAAAACAGCCGAAGACCGCCAAACCCCCAGTTCTATAAGCCTGCTACGGAGGCTAGGTACATGTCAGGAAAAATCGAGAGTTACAGGTACACAGGCTGTGTACATTTTCTTCGATCTTACCTTATTTTGGGATGAGATTTGGGCGTTTTTATAGAGCTTTAAACTTTGCACTGGTATCTTTTTTTTTCTCGCTTCGGGTGGCAAATAGATACTGCCCTGCCTATTAGTATTTGATACCGTCTTGCAAATTTGATACCACCAAAGCATCTGCGCTGTTCTCATAGGAAGTTTAGCGTAATGTCCCCCTCCCACACAAAGTCTCATGTCCAAACTAAACAGTTCTCACGATTTACTTTTCTGGACAAGCCAGCAGACGGTAGCCTCTACCAGGCTTCGGGAGGCGGCTGGAAAGAGTAGAAATCGGCCAAATAGACAGATGACATGCCAGGGGAGTTGGTCTGAGTTTTGCGGCAAAATGTTCTCTCCCAGCAGATAAACTGCCCTGACATGTTATCTCTTTATTTGGCCGATTTCTACTCTTTCCAGCCGCCTCCCGGAGCCTGGTAGAGGCTAAGCAGACGGGCTAACCGTGCCTGGAAGTACCAGACCGCAGGATTAAGCTGTTAAAGTGTCCAGCAATTAGAAATTAGGTGTTAACTTGTACCATGTAGTTAGATCTCATGGCGACTAGTGTAAACTGAAGGATACTTCTGTTGTTCTAAAAATTGATAGTTTTGTTCATTGTTATATATTTCAGTAACAGTTCTCAATGTATCCGAAAGGAATTTCACAGTGGTTCCGAGGACTTTGGTCGCGTATGAAAGTGTTACATTTCGCAAGGAGGCTAGAGGGGCGATCTTCTATACAAAATGTTCTTGATGTAACCTCCTTTCAAATTCTATTGTGGTTTTATTCTAACATCTATAGTTAGATAGAAGTTTGTAAGATTTATACTTTGTAGGGAGCAAAATCTATGTGATCATGGCCTGAAAATAATAAAAGCAAACAGACTGTTCTTTCATAACCAGAACGCACCCCTGCTTGGTAAAGTGGACCCGTCCGAAGTCGAATGTGTCTGGCAACAAGGTGTAAATGGGATATTTAGGGTGGTTATCGTGGGCCGCGGCACTCCCCCATACAACACATGCCTCATCTGTAAACTAGCCAGAACGGGTAAGGTGTAAACTACGGTAACACACGTGATTAGCGTGGACATCCTGTCCCGAAAAAGTTCATTTTGAGATCAGTGCTCTTCAGTGACGGTTGGTTCTAGTCGCAGCTTAGTTCGGAAAACGTCTGTTTCGAGTCAGTGAACGTTCAACTTTAATTTTGCTTTGAAAATCGCGTACTGAAGTTAAAAACTAGCGTAGGAAGAGACTGCGACGGACAAGGGTTAGATAGGACCTACAGGTGCCGGGATATTGTTGTACGCCAGCGGGACAATGGAAGCGGAACGGGCGGGCGACATCGCGCCAGCTGCCGAGGACGCGGGCCAGGCGTCGCGGTCGTCTCTCTCCTTCTCCATCGAGAGCATTCTCGGCTCTTCTCCGGTCAGCAGAAGAGCGGAGCACGTCCCCGTGCCGAAAGCTCACGGACACTGGCTACACGGGATCCCGCATGGACAGTTTTACCCCGGTTCTCAGGACCACCGGGTCGTGTGTGAGGTGCCCGGCGGGGTGGGAGCGGCCCTTCCCCCGTCTGTACCGGTCGGAAGACTCGCGTGGATGGCCCAAGTATTCAACGGAAACAACATTCCGTTCCACAGCGCCGGTAAGTGAACAAACTTCTGCGAGTTTGGTTTTACTAGTATTTAATCTCCAAGCAGATCTTTTTGGTGGCTACAAGACAGGTATCAAATTGGGCAGTGTCCAATATGTCACCGGCACCGTTTGGCTTAGCCTCTACCAGGCTTGAGGAGGCGGCTGGAAAAAGTAGAATTCCGGTACAAAAACAAGAAGCACGAAGCCCGGTAAAAACGCCGAAAATACGTCAAAGGAAGCCAAAGCCTAAACCTCTGCTTGGAGAGTAGCTTTTCTTCTGGCTTTAGTGAAGCCTTACAAAGCTTTAAACCTTTAGTTCTTTGGGTCCACGTGCGACGTTATAGATAGTTTATTTTGTGCCACCAAGCGTGAAAAAGCGCTTCGGTCGTCAGCCGCTAAACAGGAACAAAAACTACGAAAAACTACCTAGAATGAAGCAAGTGGCCACAGGAATCATTTTAAAAGAACCTGTATATACAACATTTACGGGTAAACTGCAAGCGTAATGAATAAATGTCGTCCAAGTGTTGATTAAAAGCGGTACACGAAATAGTTTTATGGTCTATCGGAACAGGCCCGTTAGTAGCGCTCTGTCGGATAATATAAACTATTTCTGTAAACGTAACTACAACATTGAAGAAGAAGATATTCAAGTTTATATATCATTTTGACAAATGCTAACAATGCAGCAGGTAAAATGTAGTGTAAGGATGGTACGCAATGGTAGTAGGGTTATTGCAAAATGAAAAAGTTGACAAAAGAAATAGTAACTGCCTGGCAAATGGATACAGCTTGGTCAAATCTTTGCCGCCACCAAAATATCTGCTAGGAGATTAGTATCTTTCTCTTAGTTTTCTAACTTCACACCAATGATAGCAAGTCGTCAATTTCTTTTTTCTAGTGTTCACCAGACTAACACTGCGTTCAAATTGTAATAGTTAGCCAAATTTCGAGAAACAAAGGAGAGGAGTTTAGTCACCGCAGAGGTCATTTGTCCGCGCAGCCAGTGGTCTGTGTAAAGTCGCTGAGTTCAAAGGCAATAAAACTACTAAACTAATCCCCTCTTTTCTAAACGATAACAGCAGTTTCCGACGGGCGAAATGAAACAGTGGACTCACTCCCCTGCCCAGGCGGACCCTATTTTTGCGGATTTCTACTACTCTATTATACAAATTTTATACTTTATTGACGCAACGAAAGCACAGCGACTTTCGTAAGGTCTAATTATATACCCTTTAGGAATACTCTCCAAGCTCCAAGCCAAAATGAGCCAAGACGTTGGGCTTATTTTTGGCGTGTTTTTATGTTTTTTATCCGGCTTTCTTTTTTTGCACTGGCATCTTTTTACTAGTACATAAACAAAAATAAAACCCGATAAAAAAAGCCTAATAGACACGCCAAAAATAAACCAAAACCCAAACCCTCTGTTTGGAGAGTACTATAGGAAGGCCTGGTGGAGGCTAAAGTTTTTCACAGGAAAAATTAGAAGCGTTCTTTTGTTGCAATAAAAAAGAGAAGGAATTCGTCCCGGACTGGTTTTCCCCCTTTACACGGTGTATAGCTCGCCGTTTCGCTAACGGTTTTCGTTCACAAGTTGTCAGACCACAACGACTGCCGCGTAACTCGAAGAAGATCGAACACACGTCTGTCGTTTACTCTTACGGCTTTATCGCTTGTCCAATCAGCTGACCTACTAAAAAACATAAAAAAACTTCGCTAAACTATGGATAAAGTTGATTCTAATCTACAAGCATATCTTTTAGTGGTTGCAAAGACAGAATCAAATTTTCCAGGCGATAAAAATTGGCCAGACAGTTACCATATTTCGCCATCATTGCATACCTTCGGTGGCGAAATGATTAAACTGGCCGTTGGACAAATTTGATTCTGTCGTTGCAGCCACCAAAAGATCTGCTTGGAGATTAGTTAATTCATCTGTCAGCAAGAAAGGGGCGCGAGGAGAGCTCAGATGTTGCCAATTGTCGTGCTTTTACACAGTATTAGTCCCCCGGGTCGCGCGGTTTTGTTGCGAAAGTGTATCTTTACATGCGTAGAGTGTTCAGTTTCTCGGTTAGACAAAAGAGTGTCAACATGAGGACAGTAGGACGAGTTTATTGGGCCCGTGTTAGGTCAGTGTACTTTGTGTACTGTTCCAGTTCTGTAGGTTACGATAATAAAGGAGCCTTGCGGTGGAGAATCTTGGACCTCGGCCTCTTTTTAGCCTCTACCAGGCTTCAGGGGGCGGCTGGAAAGAGTAGAAATCGGCCAAAATAGACAACAAGCTAGGGGAGTTGGCCAGCTATAAAAGGAGTGCAGCTTACCGCTGCTTTATAGCGGACAAACTCCCCTGGCATGCTATCTGTGTAGGCTACTAGTTCCTACTCTTTCCAGCCGCTTCAAAGGCTAATATTTCAATAATATGTACGTTTCCTGGGTCCCGATCTCCTACTGAGTGTGATATTTCTAACATACACGTCGGGGCCGATTGTAGTTTATCCACTTCCGGCCTAGGCGTTGCAAAAATCTCTATCCTCGTTCTTTTTTTAGGTGATATGATTCAGAGGCGGAAACCGCCAAGAAAACAATGTTTCCAGGTAAAACAATGCAATGCCGCCTTTGGTCTATGAAAATGACTGAACAGTTGAAACTGCGTATAAATTGGGCCTTAGGGTCATACGTTGAATTCACTTGTGCTACGAAACGCACCTTTTCTTTAAGGAAAAGGCTAGTATCCCTCTTCAGTTTTCCCCGTATTGTCCCTGAATCCAAGCCAACATCAGATTTCCAACGATGCACCAGGAAAAAGAGTGAAAACAGCTTCACTAAAACCGTCTATTTACCCAACAGGACCACCAGCTTTCGTACACAGAAAATCTAGGTTATCATAAACATAGCTTCAAGGCGACAACGGAAAATACGCAACAGCCAACCCACGCGAAGCTCCTCTACTGTGAACGAAAACTAGTCTTCCTTGTGGCAAACTGTACTCCTTTAGCAGGCAAACTTCCTCGCATGTTATCTGTCAATTTCTACTCTTTCTAGCCTCTTCTGAAGTACCTCTGAAGCCTGGTAGAGGCTACACAAAGACCTTTTTGGGACTGTTATGCTAACTGAATAATGTATATTCCGTTTGATAGACCACATTGAGATTTACACAGTCGAAGATAGAATGCTTACAAACAAATTGAATATCGGTTAAAGCTGTGTTGGTAGTATTTCTGAGGAAGATGAAATGTTTTCTTTCGTCTTTTCTTTCACCAAGTTTTCTGTCTCTTGTTGCAACATGATCCTGATGTCTTGATTAAGCCCAGTTACACGGATCGCTAGCCTCCCTCATCTCTCCCCGGAATCTGTAACAGAAACTTCGATGAAAGACCTGATAACGACGCGACCAGAGAGATGCACCTGTGTTTGTTTTAAAGTGAGAGAGAAAAAAACGCCGCTTTGCGTATCGGTTTGCAAAGTAAATGTGTTCCTTTGTGCAAAATAACAGGAGGGTGTAACTGGTCATTCGGAGTCGTCAGCAGAAATATAAGAAACCTTCCTGACGATATGTTCTTGCTGACAAGTCAACCTTTGTAGTCAACCGTACTGTGTAAGAAAAACAATTCTTTAACATAAAAGCGGAGTAAAGACGACATATCCTAATTCTGCGAATCATTATAAACTAAAAGTCTAAATAGTAGATCTATACATTGTGCTTTGCTGTGGAGGCACTACATGTGATGATTTGAGTTACCAAAAAATCATTCTGTCATACTTAGTACCTTTTGGGTTCTCTGATCTTTTTTGATCATAGCTTTTCGTGTTTTCATTATTACTGAGCAGTTAAAATTTATTGTAATGTGCGGTGTTGGTCTGTAGTTGTTAATATTATGTGTAAGCATGTAAGTTATGCCCATCCTCTTGCTTCAAGAACAAAGATATATCCAGAACAAACTTATCACCAAGAAAAAGTTTTTCTTTTTACATCGTGGAATTAATCGCACTGTGCCTTAGTGGCAACGGTCTCTGTTGTCATGGCAACAAAAGGTCTATGTTGCAATTTTAAGACAAGCCCCCCAACTAGCGCCGTTCTTCACTAGCTCTAGTTTAGATAACCTCAGAAAATCTCTTTTTACACGCACTTTGTCACCGTGGAACTCCACACTTTGTAATAAAGAGATAAAGACCGGATTACCCTGGTGACAGCTCACGGAGATTAACACACCTGCCTTTGTGAGCTCACAGGTAACAGATACACCACCACAGATGGAGATATGTTAATCCGCAGGTGCGCTCAGGTTTTATTAAGGTCTGCGGAGAACCTTGTCACGGAAGGTTACGCGTTCTTGATTCTCAAAGCGGCGACGTGTTTTCTTAAAAACGCTAGAGAAGGTCACCTTGTTTTCGTTGTCAAGGACGTTTTTCGCGTGGCGAAGTTTCTACTTTGCATATTTGGTGGTTATATTTAGAGAAATATATTGACAAGGTAAGAAATGTAGAGTGTAGTACTTTACATCTTTTTTGAACCACAAAACTGCGTTGTCTAATTATACCATGAGCAAAGTGACTTGCTTGTAGGTTTGTACTAATCTCCAAGCAGATCTTTTGGTGGGGGTAAGACAGTATCAAATTGGCCAGTCTGTAACCATTTCCCCACCCTGCTTGGAGATTAGGTTTGTACATCTTTTCACGTTTATCAAAGCTCATTTGCAGGTGGCAAGGTGGTCTTGTGGTTAGGCCTGTTCAGAATCTGAAGATTCTGGGCTTGAATCCCTGGCAGGCCCCACTGTTGTGTCATTTGGAAAGGCACTTTATACGTATTTTAATACTCAATTCAGGTGAAAATGAGTACCTAGCTAGCTTCGGGTAGGGACCTCCTATCGGATGGGAGATCCCGTGTAGTCCTTCCAGGAGTAGATCAAACCTTACAGTCCAGTCTTACGCAGCTTGTACTCACTGTACAAAACCGGTGTGTAACGCCTAAAGATGATTTACTGATTATGCGGAACAAACAAACAAACAAACAAACAAACAAACAAAAAAAGACTTAGGTCACAGTTTGTGAAATCTCTACCTGGCTAATTATCTACTTACTAGCTTCAGTAATTACTGTCTCGTTATAGAAACCACCTACATGTAATCCACCAGGTAGCATACCTTTGCCACACCGTCCCTTCATATCATGGTTTGATATCTGCGTTTCGATTTCATGATCAAACAGTGACTGTCTCCTTCTAATCCAGACTTGTCATCAGTTTAGACTGAAGCGCTTAGATTATGTTTCAAGTCTAGTGCAAGAAGAGGAAGAAGAAACTAACTGTCCTATTCTTGAAGAAAAATCTTTGGCCACTGGTTCTATTTGTTAGCCTGGGTACCATCCCCAGTAGTATATTCGCAAACTCTATAATATATAGAGTTTGCGAATATACTACTGGGGATGGTACCCAGGCTATCTATTTGTATGCATGCAGATAAGTTTACATTTTTCTACGCATTTACGGTTAGGAAGATTCCGTGTCAAAAATTCTTTTCTTGTTTTAACTCAAACAAGAGACAGGGTACAAGGAAGACACGAACATGATATCTTCTGCACCTCGAAAACTGTCTATTGTACCGGAGTTGTACTAATCCCTTAAACATTAGAGCAGTCAGTGTTCTTTAGAAGACTTTGTTTATACCACTGCAGTTAGATCTTTTGAAGCACCCAACAGAATGCAGGTTAGATGGCGACATCATTTCGGCCTTTTAACCACATGTTATTCTAACCTGGCCCTGCGTGCGATACACACCGGCTACTGACCTAACATGCACCCAATAACTGCTGACCGCGGCCTGCCTTTGTGGGCCTTTTGTTCTGCCGTGTAAATAGAGAAGCCGCAGATTGATGACTACACCTGCGGCACAAAGGAAAGATTTGGACGAATTAACACCAGTAATGGTATAAACGCCGGGATGGATCTGATCTGTGTATCGTGTTTTTACGGGTCGCCGACTGAAGTTTATGTAATACGGTAACTGGTGACCTCACTGTACTGTACATATCTACCGTTTTTGTGCATTTCTTTTCAAGTTTTCTTCCTAAACGTCCTTCATTTACTCTACGAAAGGAAGAGGGAAAAAAAGAAGAAAAGAGCAATAAAGACGTAGCCTGTATCAGGCCGACTGAAGTTTATGTTATACGGTAACTGGTGACCTCACTGTACTGTACATAGCTATGGCAACCGGTTTTGTGCATTTCTTTTCTTTTCTTCCTATATTGCTTTAATTTAGTTTACGAATGAATGGGGAAAGCCTAAGAAAAAAATAACAATTAAGACGTATCCTCTACCAGGCTTCAGAGGCTGCTGGAAAGAGTAGAAATTGGCCAAATAGAGAGATAACATGTCAGTGAGAGAGTGGCAAACTGTAACTCCCCTGGCATGTTTTGGCCAATTTCTACTCTTTCCAGCCGTCTCTGAAGCCTCGCAGAGGCTACGTCTTTAATTGTGTTTTTTTTCTTTATTCTTTCCTCCTTCTTTCGTACGTCGTGTTCTTTGTTTCTTCTTTCTTTCAACCTTCTTTTCTTTCTTTTATTCCTTCTCTTTCCACGTCAAAGTAAGTTTTCCCCTTCTTTTCGTACCTTTCCAAGTTTTCTCTATTTCTGTCGTCTTTTTACATATTTAGTTTCTGTCTTTCGTTCCTCTACCGATATCTTTATTATGTAGTTTAACTGGAATTCCATTTGAATCTAATTTCAGGGCAGCCATTGGCCATGACGCTCGCAGCAAGCAAAGCAATCCTACCCAGCATGCAGCGCCCCCGAAAGCGGAAACTGCCTTTGGACCGGAAGCCACGTCAGGCTTATTCAAGCAGACAGGTTAGGATATTTGACGTCATGCAATAACCTTAATAAGCAGGAATCATAAATGATATCATGGTATCATCTCATTAATCTTTCGTCAAAAACAAGTTAAGATTGCACCTGTAGCCTCTACCAGGCTTCAGAGGTAGCTTGAAAGAATGGCAGTTGGCCAGATAGACAAATAACATGTCAGCGTTTTTTTAAAAACAGTACAGGTCAGAGCGGCAAACTGTACACCTCTTAAATTATTAGACTAATTCCCCTGGCATGTTATCTGTCTACTTAGCCTATTCCTATTCTTTTCAGCCGTCTCTGAAGCCTGGTAGAGGCTACCATTATTGTAGCAATTCAATTTTGTAGATAAATGAAGATTATTGTCTCTTTTACTCTGAACGTAACGCTACAACTTACACCATTTTTTATATAAGCAAAACCATGTGTCATGGACCACACACTGACGGGCTCTAGACAGTTTAAATGAGTTTCTAATTCTAATAGAAATGTTTTATCTTTTATATCAGCTGGAGCGTCTGGAAGAAGAGTTTAAGAAAGACAAGTACCTGAGCGTCAGTAAGCGGGTGGAGCTGGCGGAGTCTTTGGAGCTGACGGAGATCCAGGTCAAAACGTGGTTCCAGAACAGAAGGTGGGTACTGCAGTTCACACGAAACACGTTAGGGGGCGTGCATGACATGTGTGACTACAATTATTGCCAGAGATGTAAACAAATTGAAATGTTTGTAACTTTCAACGGGTATACAGAAAAATCTTGTTAATAGCAATGTCGTATAACATTTAGATTGTTCTTCATGATCTAAACCCGACGTCAAGCTTGTATATTTCCGATACATTATGACAACAATGCTTCACACAGCAACCACGGTTACATATATATAAATCAGTGTGGTGTTAGTTTGTACAAATAGGTATCGACCACAGACAATGTTTACCTCAAAATTGTGTCCAACATCACGCCTGATCGCATGGTTCCACTGTCTCCTGAAGACGGCATCCGACGGAAATGTGTCAAACGATAGCCTCTTGTCTGAATTGTACCTTGCATCATTGGCACAGTGAGGTACACAACAGTGGTCATGTCGTCCTGCGAAATTCGATCTGGACGCCGCCATTTTGAACTGCGCGCGCCTGGCGTTCTTACGTCATTAGCCTCGTTTTCATTCTATCATGGCCGTCACCTGATGTAAGTTTGGAACAAGGCATATCTTAAAGATTGTTTCTTGTTTTGTTTGTTCAGAACAAAATGGAAGAAGCAGACTGCGGCAAGAATGCGCATGCTCCACCAGCAAGACGCCGGCATTCTGCCGTCGACCAGCGTGCCTCATGACGTCACCCGTTACCATGGATACACAACCTGCCCCGCCCTGCCGTCGTCGTTCCCTAACTTCTCTGCGTCATCAGAGCCGTTCTTGTTCCCAGCCCCTACAAGCGTTCACCACATTATCTCTTACAAATAAGCCACAATGTAAAATATTACCTGTACAGATATATTTTACCGTATGATGCATTTATAGCCTATGTCGTCTATGTTTGTTTGATTGTTTGTACATGAAATATTTTTATCGACTGCAGAAGACATCTGAAAAGAAGTGGAAATTGTTTGGATGTTGTTTATTTTCGTTCTATCTTCTATCATTCCGGAAGCAAGGTAGCCTTAACGATGCTGCTTTTTTAAAACCTGATACGTCACAATTTTCTGTGATCTAATCGCCTTATACTTACTTACTGTAATATTACTTAATTGGACGACAGTAGCGCATCTAGGACAAGATTACACATGTAATTGAAGAGAGTACTACGTAGAAGACAGTTTTTGTTCATGACTTACATTGATACCGTGGTCGAGGGGGGGGGGCGATTGTACGGATTGCAGTTGAAGAGGAAATCGCGAGAGGGTGCTCTTTACCGTTGCCGCATTCATGAGCCAAGACCAAATCAGATTATCAATCCTCTGTACTGACAAACCTTTTTATGGAGCAATTTTTTAACGTTTTTAAGTAAGACAAATGATTGATCCTACCAAACCGTATTGTGTGTATAAACTTTAACACTTTATTTTGTATACTAGTAAATCTACGTCTTAACTGAAACACTATTGTCATCTTTATTTCAAACTCATCTATAGTAAGCTATTTGATCACTATTAGAATATTTTATTGTGCCAACGTTTTTGTAAATGTGGTGACCAAATCTACAGTTTCATGATTGAATAACAAAGTTTATTTATTAACAAGAGCCGACGTCAGGGCACTTATGACTGATACGACTGAAGATAACAGACTATCATCTAAACGTCGGCTATGGAAGTGGTTATGAATAAAGAACTTTGCTATTCAATCATTCACCAACCTGATGAAAGTATTCACGAGTACTAGTGCACAGTTCCATACTGTTTTTCTATCGGACGAAACATCAAAAGCTATGAATGTATTCTAAATCGCTAGAAGGTACGGAATTTAAAAGGAAGAGCGGATATAGATGGTCAGGAGGTGTGTATTATATTATGTGACAATCCCAGCTGCAGATTTAGATAGCACGATGTTCGACGGACGTTGCGCTTCCTCAGACCATAACACTGCATCTTCTAAAGTAGAGGTCACTTCTACACCCGTGCTGCACCTAAGACCGCTGCAAATCAAGCTTAAATTCGACGTGTAAAAACTCTCCGTCTGCCCCTTTGTTTGCCATTAAATTACCAGATATTTCTTAATTGATCTTGTCAAAGTTCTTTCTATTTGATTTGTTGTAACACATGTTTTAAAGTTGCTTATCAAGAGATCAGTGTAAAATGATGGTACTGCCAAAATATCCCTTTCCTAGCCCCCCCCCCCCTTTCCACAACTTGCGGCCTTGCCAGGACATGATTCGTTTTATAAAATGATTTATTGAATTTTCCGCCACAAAAGGCCGCCATATCCTTTCACTGTTACAACCCGCTGGCAGAGTATTTGAAGGACTTATAGAAGCAGATGTTGTACAGTGATTCTTTTATAGTTCCCACCAACTTATCCCCATCTAAAGCCTTTACGTAAAGGGTTTGCTGAATACCATGAAATAAACCACCAGAACATATCCTATAATTCCTTTTTGCTACTCTAATTTGATCTGGTACTGAACACACTGTATGATATTAAGTCCCCTTTTATAGAGATAAAAGTATCACAACAGGAGATGGTGGTTTACTGCAAACGACCGCAGGTGACCCCAAATGGAACGCGCGTTCGGTTCGAATTGCACAGATCGAACACAATCGAACGTAATTCGGGTTCTAAAAAAAGATGGGGACTTTGGAGCCAACACACCGAAGTTTATTTCCTTAGGTCTTATGGATATATACGAGAGTTTGTCGCTCCAATGTACAAGGTTGCGTAGCTGTTTTTAGATAAAGCAGACACCTATTCCTTCTCTGAAAAGTTTCAGATGTATCGTGAAACCGAATGGTTCTCGGTAGCGCCGGAAATAGTGGCACTCTGAACGTGCTACGGCCGAAAGGGCATTTACATTGAGACGTCAACTCACGAGAGTTGAGCACTATGATTATTTATGATGTCTCGCTTCACAGTCAGCCAAAACACGCCTGTATGCATGTTTTCTCTGAACTGTTCAGAAAATGGGTATTTGACGGTCACTGCTCCTATATTACCATAGCGCCTCAGACACCGAAAAAGCTATCTAATAACTTACATGTGAACTGAATACTTTTTTCCGTGACCAAAATATTAAAAGGCACTCAAGTTTTAAAAACGTAAAACCTTTTGAAAATGAGACAAGAACATCACAAGCATAATGACAGTTAGGAGAGAAAGAATAAAAGAGAGTATATGTGATACTATGCTATTCTGTTTGATGTCATTTCATGCTATACAAAAGTATACAACTATCTATAATGTCTTACAATACACCAGTGCATATGTTGATCTACTTTTATTCTCTGCAAAATATATTATAGCTATAGAATAATTAATACATAGTGTTATGGCAGTTAGTCACTCCCATGAATTATCAGATTTGATAATCTTGAAGAGGAGCCAGCGCTGTTTAATGTGTTAGAATAATTACTCTCGATAAAGTCAACACAGCAAGCAATTAGTGATGGTAAAGCACCTGATGCTATAGCATGATAATTCTGCATTTAATTAACAGTATACCAGTGCAGACAAACGGACAGACAATAACAAGCTGACAAATGTCATATTGTTCATTTATTAATGAGAAATGGAATATTTTTTAAAAGATACGCTATACCGTTTAAGGTAAAGGTAACGTTACAGGTAGACCCATATAGCCTTTTCAGGTCATAGGTACACTGTGTCTAATGGACGATATTGGAAGGTACCCAACCCTCTCCCTCCACTGCGTTTTACCTTCCAAACCAAGACATCAAAACAGGCAGAGTGTTCAAAGACAGCCCTCTCCGTAACAAACCAGCTAGATTTTGCCCTGTTATCTTAATTTTAAGAGTTACTAGTAATATTCCTCCAGTTTGCGATCGCACAATAAGCTGCGACCAAGATGTTTTTGCTTGAGATTTATCAAATAGCGATGGGACTATTTAAAACATGGACGTACTCGTACGCCGTTTTAGTGTTACATTCTGGTAGATAGGTAATACATTTCACAGTCTGTATTGACTGTACGGCCGCTTGACATTTTGCAATGTCTGCTTAACGACCATTGTCTGAGAAGCTAATGCATTACAGCTATAATAACATATGCATATGTTATATACATGTACAATACCACAAAAAAGTATATGTCTGGTCGACATTCGGCTGAATATTAAGTCAAAGGTTTTTAACACATTTCAAAAGATAAAAATTCTAAGCTGTCGCTAGAATTACACGGGATAGATAGGTTTTACTTTGCACTTTTATATACAACGTTCTAAAATGCGGAATATTTTACTAGATAGACGAGTAAATAAGGCTGTTTTGACCCCATACATGGTTGACAGCAAGTACGTCAGTCCATGACAGGTAAATAGTGGTCAGGGCGACAGGTAAAAGATACATCGAGATCCCTGCACAGTTCGGGTCACGGAGACTACTCACAACTGTCATAAAAGACTGAGTGTGTCGCTTTCGCCAATGGCAACTCCAATATAGCATCTTCTCAGAGTGGCGCCACTGCGCTCCGACCCTGGGCGGACTTCGTAATAACGTCGTATGTTAGTCAGGGGTTTTTCTAAACAGGGGAATAAGGGAGCTGCTCCCTCATGTAACCAGCCAGCTCCCTCATACCAATTTTCAGATTGAACCCTAAGTGGCTACTCTTATTTAAAAAATCCCACCTCGGTCGCTTCGTTCCTTGTCATGCTTGCGATCTGCTCCCTCATGCTAAATTTTTCTAGAAAAAACCCTGTTAGTTGTACGAACCACATCGTTTATCAGACTCTTTTTACCAAAGGCAAAGCGATTGTCTGAGCCCTGAAATGTCCCGATAGCAGTTTTATGATGTGGTTCTTAGAAATCGTTGCAATTACTGACTGCCTCTAGAGCAGTTGACGTAAAAATCCATTGATCTAACGTAGTGAGTATATTTGCCTTTTTCAAACAGACGTCATTGCGACGTTAACGTTGAAATATAAAGGCCATTCAAAAGTCTGTGTGTACATTTTAGTGATGTTCTGTCCATGCACGTTTGACAATAGCAGTGTTTGCGTCAATGTAAAACATAACAACCTACTCTATCATTCTGACTACTTGTAGTCACAATTGTAGGATAGATTAGGTTTGTAGCATTGTTGATTTATACTGCCATACAATGTACCATGTGCGATTGTCAAGAAATAAAGATATATTCATTTATATATAATGTTTTGTATTTTTATTCAACAGTTTCTTTTCCTGTAAATTCGACATTGTTGACGCGGTTATTTCGAATAATCTTTCCGGGACTAATGAATTATAGTATGTAGTTTCTTGAAAAATATCGTTGTGTATTTTTAATCACAAAGGCACAGCAAAGTTGAATAAACAACAATCTTTTTCCGTTCTATTGTTAAACATATCCTGCTTATCTGTTCACAAAAAAGTGAAGCATTTTTCAAGTTTCAAATCTCGACGTATCTGGGTCAAAAAGTTGGCACTTATGAAACCCCTACTTGTGTGAAAGTTGTTTGACTTTGAATCTCAAACGAGTGGACCCGAGCCCTGTATTTGTCTCATCGATCCCGTCTTATCGGAACCAGCCAGACCCCGTCATTACCAGAACCATCACTGCATGTTGCAAAAGGCGAAGCTGACCTGGGTTTCTTACATTCAGGGCCGGACTGAAAAGGCCATTGTTGGGCTGTGTTTTGGACAGGAAATTCAATTTCTGTCAGCAAAAGTCTTATCTAAAAAAAAAGTTGATAATGATGACAAGAAAATATCAGGAGTCATCTCTTGGGTCATGATGACAATGTGTTTATCTGGGGATCTGTAAACATGATTTTATAGAAGTGTATTTAATCTAGCAGAAGTTTTGGTATTCCTTGCAGAATGTGGTGTCCATGGAAAGCCACTTTACACGACTTTGCTGCCTCCACCCCCTCTCCACACGCGCGCGCGCGCACACACACACACACACACACACACACTCACACACACACACACACACACACACACCATATGTGTTGAATTATACCATCGTTTTGTGTATCTTTGATCCTCTAATGGTGCCTCCTGGATTTTCTAATAACCACCTGGAAATCCATAATTTATTCTGTGAATCTTGATATGAAAGAATGACGACCGTTATTACGCATTTTGCCACACTGGGCATGACGAACAGATACAAGATAAAGCTAACTGCCATGAAATAAATTCAACCTCTTTCCTGTCAGTTTTAGTAGAGACAAAAAACATGTTTTCGATGGAAGATTTGTCTAGTTGTATAATTTTGTTACCAAACAGCCATATCCTACTATAATTGCCCCCCCCCCCCATTTTCTCGAATCTGAACCTAAACCTTCGCTTGGGAAGTACCAAAACTGTCGCAGAAATATCACATCATTTTTTTAATAAAAAGCTTCCTTCCCATCCCCCATTAAATCATTTGCTTTCTTTCA